GACACATGTGACAGCAACACAGGGACACATGTAACAGCAACACAGGGACACATGTGACAGCAACACATGTGACAGCAACACAGGGACACATGTGACAGCAACCATGTACAGAGACAAAAGTCAACAACACAAGGACATACATGTTCAACAACACAGGGACACATGTGACAGCAACCATGTACAGAGACAAAAGTCAACAACACAGGGACATACATGTTCAACAACACAGGGACACAGGTAACAGCAACCATGTATAGAGACAAAAGTCAACAACACAGGGACACACATGTTCAACAACACAGGGACACAGGTAACAGCAACCATGTATAGAGACAAAAGTCAACAACACAAGGGGTAAAATCATACATGACATTTCTTTATTGACTCTGGTATCGGAATTTCAAGTATTGCTAAGCCTGGAGGAAAAAAACAACACAAAAAAACAATAGAATTTTAAAATTTGAATTTTAAAAAAAGAAAAAAAAAGAAAAGAAAAATCCCACCCATTCGAGACCTGAACAAATTGAAGGGAATGAATATTAAGGTGTAGAAAGAATTCATGAGCGTGTGGGTTTATAGTTTATGCCGTCGCGCATCATGTGTACATGTGTATGAACACCTGTGTACATTTGTATAAATCTATGTACGAGATGGGGAGTAAAAGTAAAAGAACAAAACTTGATGACTTTCTGGAGTGAGTAGAAACTTGCAGATGAATCAAGTACAAACTTTGAGAAATGCGTCGTCGCTATTTACCATATTCCTCCCGGGAAGATGTCCGACAACCTTCATCGTCCGTTCGTGCTCGCCAAATGAACAAAAACATTGAACAGAAGATTTGAGCATGGCACAGAAGGTCGGGATTGGCAGATGGTCACGAGTCCTTTGCCGTGGACTATACACACACATATTATATATTTATATATGACAACGGTATATCTCTGGCGCTCAACGTCTGTATCTGTTCCGACAACCAACGCCTCTCCAGCTTCCTAGAGAATACTCGTGTGTATATCTATTTATCTATCTATCTGAAATGAGAGTACGACCATATAGGGAGAGACGGCGGTGAAATATTGAACAACAGAAAGTATGTGTACAGAGCTTGTATATGGCATATATACAAAGATGCAATGAGGGAGAGGAAGAGGAGGATGAACACAAGATTTTTAAAAAAACAACCCCAAAGAAAGAAAAAATTATAGAATTTAAAAAAACCACATAATCTGCTGCCCTGAAGTTGACATACGTATTGGTACAAACTCATCATGTATACTTTTGTAGGAAAAATCCATCATCAACTTTTTTCTTCATCAGAACGAAACATCATGTAAAAAAACAAGTCATTATAATAATAATAATAACATAGAGCAATTTTCCAACCAAAGAATGACATGATACTTCGTCATGAACACAAAACACACAGACGCGATTTGAGGAAATGGGTGTCAGATTTATGTCAGTATCAAATACATATTATCATAACAAATATATTGCTTACTTGAGTCTGATATAAAAAAGAAACGTATATAAATTCCAAACAAATCTTCAGATATTTTTGTGCAAATAGTCCATGACAAAAGTACCACAGGCAGGAGGAAAAACACAGGTGTGGTCAGATAAAGAAGACAAAATCTACACAAACTATACAACTGGCCCTAGTGGTAGCCATACCTTGGCTCAGCAAAGAGAAAAAAAATCCCCCCC